GGGATGTTTCCCAGACAGCTTGTAGACACTGGAGGTATGTCTGCAAGTCTCCAGCTCCCCAAAGACTCTGAAGCAGTGGTTCTCAACCTTCCTAATCCGGCAATCCCTTAATATAGTTCCTTATGTTATGGTGACCCCTTAACCATAAAATTATTTCATTGCTACTTCAAAACTCCAACTTTGCTTCCGCTACAAATCATAATGTAAATATCTGATATACAGGATACCAGGTATGTGACCCCCTGCAAAGGGGTCAAGACCCACAGGTTCAATCTGCTTTTCTAGACGTTTGTCTTCACAACATTTGCATCTAGAGCTTTTCTTAGCAGTCTAGGTTCATGACTTAACTCAATCTGCGGTTCCAGAGGCTTTAGTGACTGACACCTGCAGGGTCTGGCTACAAGTAAGGTTGCTTGTGACAAGACATTAGACCTTACTTTCCACCGTGTGACTGGAAAACCACACGAGTTTGAGCCAAGATCCTGGGCTTCTGTGATGACCCCAAGATGACCCCTTGTTCCTAGTTGGAGGCAACAGAATGCTTATCAGCTAGTTAAAGGAGAAAGGGATTTGTTAAGGGCACTCCTAGCTCAGAATCATTAAGAAAAATGAAGTTACTGAGTGTATTAGGATTCACTAGTGAAGCCATGAAATATAGAATGAATATATAGATAATCAAAAGGGGGTTTATTAGAGTGGCTTACAAGCTGTGATCCAGCTCGTCCAACAATGGGCAGTCCAGGAAACCAGTAGTTGTTCAGTTCTCAAGGATGGATGCCTCAGCTGATCTTCAGTATACATTAGAACCATGAAGAAGAAGACTCTAACGCCAGTGAAGGATTTGACTGCCTGTGAGACCTAGGGCAAGCAGGCATGGATCAAACGTTTTCTTCTTCCACATTGTTTACATATACCATGTCCTAGTTAGGGTTACTATTGCTATGATGAGACACCGTGACCAAAAGGAAAGGCTTACACTTCCACAAGGCAGTCCATCACTGAAGGAATTCAGGGTAGGAATTCAAACAGGGCTGGAACCTGGCAACAAAGAGCTGATAGGCCATGGATGGGAGTGCTACTGGCTTATTCCTCTTCTTATAAATCTATGTAAAAGTGACAACTAATAACCATACACCACAAGTCAACACAATACAAGGCTGCCTTGAAATCTTCTCTGCTGCTTTCATTAATCACAAACTCTTAAACTTAGTTTCAGACAGATATTTTTGGACAAGGGCCAAAAGAAGCCACATTCTTCTCCAAAATATCACAAGAACAGCTTCTAGGACACTTAGTAATATTCTTCTTCTCTGAAATCTCTTGAGCCCAGCCATCATAATCTACATCACCCACAACAGCATTGTCTTCCATACTCCTACTGGGATGACCCCATAAACCCCACTCAAAGTAGTCAACTGCTTTTCTACTTCAAAGTCCCCAGATATTCCATATTCCTACAACAAACAGTATGGTCAGGTTTGTCACAGCAATACCCCACTCCTGGTACCAAGTTCTGTCTTAGTCACTGTTCTATTGCTGTGAAGAAACTCCATGATCAGGGCAGCTCTTATAAAAGAAAACATTTGGTTAGGTTTAATCCATTATCATCATGGTGGGAGCCTGGTGACCTGCAGGCAGGTACTGGAGCAGTAGCTGGGAGCTACATCTTAATCCACAGACAGACAAATAGATAGAGACAGAGAAAGAGCCAGAGAAAGAGAGATACAAACACAGACGCAGACAGACAGACAGACAGACAGACAGACACACACACACACACACACACACACACACACACACACACACTTTGGGCTTGTCATGGGCTTTTAAAACCTCAAAGCCCATTTCCAGTAACACACGTCCTCCAACAAGGCTTCATCTCCCAATCCTTCATCTCCCAATCCTTCTAATTCTTTCAAATAATTACACTCCTCGGTGACTAAGCATTCAAATACATGAGCCTATAGGGGCCATTCTTAGTCAAACAGCCACATTTCACTCCCTGGACCCTATAGGCTTGTAACCATATCATACTACAAAGTATGCATTCAGCCCAATTTCAAAAGCCCCTATAGTCTACCACAGCCTGAACATTGTTTAAAAATTCAAAGTTCAGAGTCTCTTTGCAGACTCAAGGCAATCTTTTAACTATCATCCCCTATAAAATAATAATAATAATAATAATAATAATAATAATAATAATTATAATAATAATAATAATAGCAGCAGCAGATCACATACTTCCATCACAAAATGGCACAGGATATGTACCATGACAAAAGGAGGAAAGGGAGCGTAGTGAAGAAATATTGGAGCAAAGCAAGACAGGAAACCAGCAGGGCAAACCCTAAACTCTGCATCTCCATGGCTGATGTCAAACCACTCTTCAGATCTCCATCTCCATTTCTCTTTCTTGGGCTGGTTTCACACCCACACTGCAGCTCTCCATGGCAGATATCCCACAACTCTGGCACCTCCAATATCTTGGGGTTTCCAAGTTAATTCAGGCTTCACCTTCCCAGAGTCACAAAATGGCCTTTCCAGGCCTCCCTGTAGGGACATCTCCCTAACACACACCTCGGCCTCAGCAGTTTCCCTTAGCCGTGGAGAGGGATTCCACAAGCCACCTTTTTATATCCTTGACTCTAAAGCCAGAGCCACATGGCTGGAGCTGCCAAATTCTGCTGCTTAATGGGGCTGGAACTTGGCACCTTCCTTCAATTACATTCACATCAGCTTTCTGATACTGGTCACTTCCTTCCTGCTGAAGACTGTCTTTCCACAGGCTGGAAGCTTAGCTGCGTGAGGCCTTGCTCTGAGGTCACCACTCCCTTTATTCCATTGAGCATAAGGATTTTCTTGAAACCTTTTAACTCCTTAAACACTGGGGACTTAGCTCCGTTGCACTTCCTGGTGCTCCTTTTCTCCTCAAACTGGACATTTGTATTGGAATGGAATGTGGTGGTTCAAATAAGAATGGTCCACATAGGCTTATATATATTTGAATGTTTAGTCACTGGGGAGTGGTATTATTTGAAAGAATTAGAAGGATTAGGAGAGGAAGGCTTGTTTGAAGAAGTGTGTTACAAGGGGTGGGCTTTGCGGTTTCAAAAGCCCATTTCAAGCCCAGAGTCTGTCTGTCTGCCTGTCTGCCTGCCTGCTGTCTGTCTACCTATGGATCAAGATGTAGTTCTCAGCTACTGTTCCCGTACCTACCACCAGGCTCTCCACCATGATGATAATGGATTAAGCCTCTAGAACTGTTAACAAGCCCCTGATTAAATGCTTTCTTTTATTAGTGCTACCTTGGTCATGGTCTCTCTTCATAGCAGTAGAACAGTGTTGAAGACAGACTAGAAGGTGTGGTCCAGATTAAAGGTGGATCTTCCTACCTCAAAAGATCCAGATTAAAAGTGGGTCTTCCGACATCAAATGATTTAATAAAGAAAGTCTCTTGCAGGTATACCCAGCCACTTGGATTTTAGTTAATTCCAGATATAGTCAGGTTGTCAACCAAGACTAACCATTAAGCTGCTGTCTGTGATGTAATCACCAAGTTGTTGCCATGATTGTTGTTTTGAGAGAAGTGCCACCTCTGCCTGCCCCATTTCCCTTTTTATGCTTTTCAAAGAGCAACTTGGAATCAATCTCTTAAGAATGTTTCTGATTGGTTGGACCTAAATTGTTTCCAGGGCCTTAGCCTCAAAGGAGTCTGGAAAATGTAGTCTTTAGTACACCTGTTTTAATAGTGCAGATGAGAAAGAAATAAACAAGGACAGATTCTCTACATCTGAGATGCTCACCATTTGGAAGGGCCATAGATACAGTGACAGATTTTAATATGATATATTATTTGTTTTAATTAAGACATAGTGTATAGAGAGCCCAGGGAGAGGAACCACATGAGAGATCCCAAAGGTGTAGGCCTTTGACCTAGGTTCTGAAGTTGAGTTTGCTGAATGAGAGAGACAGAGAAGGCTTCAGAAACAAGAGGGAAACATAGAGGAAGGGTGAGTTTACAGAGATCCTCAATTCTTAGTTCTTATGAACTTAACCTAATTATTTTATGATAAAGATACAAAGCCAGTACAGATTATACAGACCATAGCAGGCAAGCATTCAACCACTGAGCTACTCAGCGTATCCATGTCAATAGCATCAGATTGGTAATGTGGTGACTGCCACCATAGTTGGGAAGGTCCTGGGACATGCTTCAAGGATGCCTGCATTCCCAGTTCTGCCTCTGTGATGGCCCTAGGTGCCTCTCCCACTCTGGTTCTTGAGGATTATTTGTCAAGAGACCACTAACCCCACAGTTAGTGTGTCAGGCCCTGCAGTCTTCTTGAGTCATGACTGAGGCTGTCTTGGGATCCAACACTCCTGGTTGAAGAGCCATGTGGGAATGGGAGAGGCCATGAAGAAAGGAGCACCTGGCTTCTGCCCAGGGAGGTGACTTCTTACTCCAGGGCTGTGGGTACACCAGCTGTTCTGGTAGGCAGATGGGGCATGTCACAGACAACACGGCATGAACACGAGCAGCAAGGGAACAGATAGGGGATGGAAAAACTTTGTAAATCAAAACAATCAGTGGCAGCCTCAACTTTGCCTGTGGCTGTGTCACAGGACTTTGTCCTAGGAGTGAGGGAAAGGTAAAGAGGGCAAGAAAGGATGAGACAACTCTCTGCCTGCCTCCCAGACTGGCTGCCGGGCACTGCCTATCTCCAGTTCAGTCTGCTCCGAGCTCACAGAGGCTGCCCCATCCCCTCACAGCTACTCACTGGCAATGAACCCTGTGGCTGACTTTCAGTGGAGACTGAAATGGGCTTTGTTCCTATATGTGCTTATAGTGCAGGGGGGTTGCCCTGCCTAGAGCCAGCCCCCTACTGGGTCCTGCGATAAGGTGGGTTGGTTTGTTTTCTTTGCTGGACTAGGACCCTTGGCTGATCCTGGAAAACCTAGCCTGTTTTCTCTGTGTCACCTCTGTCCCTATCGGTTCTCAGGTACTTCGAGTTTTACAAGGAGCCTTTAGAATTTAACTCCACGAGATGCCTGGAGCTGAGGCAGGAGATCCTGGAGGTGAAGGTGCTGTCCATGTGAGTGTGCCTGGGCTGGGGATGGGTAGAGGTTGCATGTGGAGGTGGGGTGGGGCGGGCAGACCCCAGAACCGAAGGAAATAAGAAACACAAGGCAGACTTCAGACTCCACGGACTGAAGGTTAGCTTTTCCACAGGCACTAGAAAGGCCTGGAAGATGTTTTATAACAAAGGCCACCTTTGCAAAGTCATGTCTGCTGACTGAGCATTGAAGTCCCCAGCTCAGTTACCAGCGCCCTTGATTACCATCGCTGGGCTTCAGTAGAAACCCAAGAAGCCTGGGAATGCCCACTTGAAATTCAGCGGTTTGTACCGTAGGGTTAAGCCTTGCCCACTTGAACATCGTCTTTTACAATTTTAATTTCTTTGAAGGTTTTGTTAATGAAGTGATACAAAACCCAAGTGTTGCAAAATGGGATATGGTGAAGTCGCCCGTCTCTCAGACACCAATTTTTCACTCCCAAAGGGTCAGTGTGTCCGTCCATAGTGTCCGTGCACACACAACATCTGTGTGTGGAGATTCCTTAAATACATTTCTATATGAGTGGCAAAGAACCACCCCTTACTCCATCCCACCCCACAGCCTATCACCCGCAGTGCTCCCGGAGCCAGTGGGAGGAGGACCCAAGCCTCTTCCTGGGTGCTCACTCGGGTCTTCCCTCTCTTGTTATGACATCCACGAATCCAGCGGGCCAGCCTAGAGGGATCCAGATTATAGTATATAGTTATGTCAGACTCTGGATCTGTTTGGAAATAATCACATCTGGACATGGACAAAATAGAATTTACACAGAGGTAATGTTGGGTGGCTTATATGGACTCATGAGCCCCCGACATAATCCCAAGGACTCTGATGATGACTGGCAGCCAGAAGCCAGGTCGTGTGGGTCATGAGGAAAGTATAGGCTTGTGTTCAGGCAAATCTGGGACCAAAAGCTGATTTGAGGCCCTGCCAGTTATGGGGCAGTAGTTATGAGGCAAATTACTTAATTTCTCTGAGCCTCCCCTAACTTATAAAATGGAGATGGCATTGCCTACCTGTTAGGTGTTGCTGCCAACTAGTGGAAACAGTCTGTACAGTAGAGAGCAGGCATAGCCTGGGGTAGGAGCGGTGCACATTGACACTGAGGAGATATCAATATTCCACGCTCTTTTCTCCCATTTCTTTCTTCTATGAAGTCAGCAGCAGTGGTTTTTCTGAGTTATACAAATAACCTGCCAGTGAACTTTCCATCACTATAATGAACATATAATGAGATAATCACTTGGAGCTGAGTCGGCCCATTATCTTGGGGGACGTGTTGAGACAGTGTGCTGTGTCAGGGAACATGAGGAAGACAGAACAAAGCTGCTGTCTTCATGACCAATCAGGAGGAGGAAGAGACCAGGTTCCCACCAGCACCCTCAAAGGCCAGTCCCAATGACCTTGAGACCTTCCACATGGCCTTACCTCTTAAAGGACCCACAACCTCTCAATAGCATTACCCTCAGAAACAGCCTTCATCACACGGGCTATACATCTTGGATGTATAGACTCCATATTCATTGTTGCTGCTGAAAGTCCCATGAGTAAGGCCTTGAGAGAGTGCAGCTGGATTGCCTGTCATGGTTATATCCCTGTAATGATCAGCAATCTGTGTGCCTTTTTAGAGATGAATGAAGCCTACCTCCTGTGGGGTCTACATTGCACTGAGATGAGCACACAGCACTGTGGTCCCAGTTCTTGGGGAGTCCATAGCCCAGTGGGGAAATAGACAGGACTAACTTAGGGGACTAATTCTTAGGGTGATAGGGAACTTGATATAGATAGGGTGGGTGATGCCGGACAAGGGTTTGCTGACGAGGGGCAGATAAGGTTCTGGTCTGTAGGGTGATAGTTATTAATTAGGCCAAGACGATTCTAAATGGGACAGTTGGTATGAGCCCTTGAGACAGGAAGGTCCCTGCTGGGTCCTGGCTCTGAAGGACCGAAGCAGCTTGTAGGTCAGCATGTGAGGGGAAAATGGAAGCTCTGGTACCAGAGGATTCATGGTCCACCTGTGTCTTTTTCTGGGGACCATGGAACCCCGTGGACAGGATTTGTGACAGTACACAGGAGTGTTGTGGACTGCTTCCCAGGAGTTCCATGATGAAGCCTACTCAGGCCACAGCTGGGAGCTGCAGGTTCCTGCTTATCGTCTCTCAGAATTAAGGCCCTCACATGTCTGACTGGGATCCTTGTCGGAAGTGTTCCTCAGGTTTCAAAAGAAAAACAGTTAAACTTTAAATTAGAAAACATAATTTCTACAGGGATACTTCCGGGTCTGGACAGGAAGCGCAGAGGAAGCACAGACACTGGCTGTCTTGGTATGTTGTTGGTGATCCCTCCATCGCAGAAGCCATTGTCAAGCCAGTTCATTTCAACAATCAACCTCCCCCATCCCCCATCACTCCTCCATCTTATTCACTGAGGCAGGCTCTCTCAGTCAAACCCAGAGCTCAATGATATGGCTGGACTTGCTAGCCCACTTGCTGTGGAGTCTTAGCTTTCTGGGGCTGGAATTATAGGCAAGCCTCCCTGACTACCTGTCCTTTGAGTGAGCTCTGGGGATCCGAACTCCCATCCTCATGCTTGCATACCAAGTGCTTATAGCACCAAGCCATCTCCTCAGCCCCAGATGAGATGTTCCGGAGGCAGGATGATCAAGAGATGTCATGGCGCCTCTCTTCCTGGCTTGCTCACAGTCCTTCTCTCACCACATCCTCACACAGCTGCCCCTTGGTCTATGTCTTATGTCTTATTCTCTTCTTATAAGTACGCCTGCCATAGTGGACTGGGCCCCACCCCAGTGGCTTCATTTTCTCCTACTTTTAAAGACCCTTTCTTCAAATACTGTCACACTGAGGTTAGGACTCTCACATATGAATTCTGGGGGGACACAATTCAGCCACTAAGCGTTGCCGTTATAGCTGTTACTTAGAGACCATTTGAGAAATTGCCAAGACACTTGGGTTTGAATCCATAGACAAATACTGCAGAGAGTAAAGGGCAATCTCAGGTTGTCCAATGGCTGCCACCACGCTTGCCCCTGGTTGCAGACTCATTTTGGTGAGGTTTGGGTCTTTCCACAGTTGCCCCGGTTCATACCTCTGTCTTCGGGATACCTTGTCTCGTTCCTCAGGACGGGTTTCTGGAATGAACAGCAGTTCTAGCTGTTGGTCTCAGGCTTAGTCAGTCTTGCATAGATGGTTTCTTCCATGGCAGCAGTTCTGTCTGGGGACTTGAGTTGTGGAAGTATAGTAGAGTCAAGGTAAGACTGGGCCACTCACAGGGAATCAGTTGTGTCAGTCTGGGGGGAAAGCAGGGAATAGCAAGCCTGGTGCCTCCCCTCCTGAATTCCCAAACTGAGGGTCTGCAGGTCCTCCATGGGAGATACTGGAGATCTCAGAGGCTGCCTTCCGTCCAGATTATCTGGGTACTCTCAGTCTTTGCTCTGCTCCCGCCTAGTCCCATGACCGGGATCACAGCAGGACTGACCTGAATAACAGGGAAAAGGTCAAATTCCATCTGTGGATGGATGCACATACTGTCCCTTTGGGCACACAGTGTGTCAGCTGGTATTTTGTCTGAGGACACAGGGAGATGTGTGATTCCCGAGGGAGTAATTTTGATCCAAAATCTCTCAAATCAATGGTAAAAATCAGTCAGCCAGAAAATGCCCACATGGAAAGTGCCCTGCTTCCTGACAGTGTCAGAGGCATGAGGAATCTGATTCTTCTGTGGCTATTTGTTGTGAAAATGTCTGTTGCTTATTTATGTTTGATCCTAGTCTTTTGAGTGTCTGTTTTAAAAAGAACCTTCAGTTGCTGCTCAGTTCACAGCCACACATGGTTCATGGCCACACCTCCTGGTTCACGGCCACACCCCTCTGGCTTCCTTTCCTATCCTTGTGGAGCTGGACTTGTTGCAGAGTCCAGCAACGAGACCAAACAGAGCAGCCTACAACCAGGGTCACCTGCAAAAAGGCCTACTCTCTGGGCTGGGTTTTCCTTCGTGCCCCTCAAAACTCAGATCCAGAACGGTTTTCAAGAGGCTGTGTTCTCTGCCAGGTGGAGGCTCAGTGAAGTCAAGTCCTGAGCCCAGGTGTCTCAGGATTAGACACTGCACAAGCTCAGGATGTGCTGTGCGGTGAACACACGGGTGGAGAAAGCGGAGGAGATTGGGGTGCAGGCAGAGTGGAGACCAGAAGACATTATAGGCCCTGGAAGACATGGGGCAACAAGGGAGAGTAGCAAGGCTGTCCGTGTGATGCGGTGAACCACAAAAGCGTATAGCACTAGCAGTCCAGATCTTACCCCAGCCTTCTCAGCCTAGCTCCACTCTGGACTCTCAGCTGTTTCTCGTGGTAAGCACCATTATCCTTCTGAGGGAAGCCCGCACGCTGCTGGGGATTTGCTCACTTTCCTTCTCGTTCATAGATCTTCTACTTTGATAAGTGAGGATTTCACTTTTCTCCTTCAGAACCAAATCCCTCCTCACCTTTCCCCAGTTTAAGGGCACTGTGGTTTGGCTGTGCATTGCTCCCAAGAGTTCATGTGCTAGAGATGGTGGGACTTTAAGAAGTGGGGCCTAGAGGGAGGCAGTTAGGTCCTTAGGGGTAATGTAGCCCCAGATCAGGAGGGGCAGGGCAGGAAGGTCTCTGGATCGCCTCTGGCTGGATAGTCTAGCTGAATTGGTGAGCTCCAGGTCCAGTGATAGACCCTGTCCCCATAACTAAGGTGGAATGTCACTGAGGAAGACACCTGACAATGACTTCTGGTCTCTGCACAAATGCACACACACATTCCTGTGAATCTGAATGTGTGTGTGCAGGTACACAGAAACACTACACTACACACACACACACACACACACACACACACACACACGTCTGTGAATCTGAATGTGTGTGTGCCAGTACACAGGAACACTACACTACACTACACTACACTACACTACACTACACTACACTACA